CTCTCGGGATCTACGCATGGACCTAAACGCCCGCTAAATAGTGAAGCTAGCGTTATCAGTGTATCAGAGTCTTATCAGCGCCAAACAGCCAGCCCAGCCGACGACGCCCCCCCCCCCCTGCCTCACTTCCCATGAATCAAGTAAGGCGCGCTCCGAAGTCTGCGGATGACCCTGCCGCCATCTTCCTTTTTATTATTATTATTATCAACAGAGTACCTTCCCTCTCCCCGCCGGGTGCCTGCTGCCAGGCCTGCCGGTAGTTGTGACTCAGGGCAGGGGTGACGTCACCGACGCGGAAAATGAGGGGGGGTGGGGGGTGGACGGACGGACGGCTTGGGTCTGAGGAGCCTGAGCCGAGCCCGGGTTCACATGTGCTTCACCGCCGAGCAACCGACTCCATGAACATACCGCACCGTTTTTCTTTTCCTTCGCAAATGCAAAAACGTACAGTAGTCGAGGAGGGGGCAAATGTCAAATCCCCCCCCCCCCCACATACACACATTTCTCACTCCTCTCCATCACACATGCCTTGGCAACCCGTGATGTCACACGACAGACATAACTGCATGACTCTGCTCAAATTAATACCCCTCTAGACAATTTTTTCCTTGATTGCGCTCGGCTCCGCTTTGCTCGGCGGTCTTAACTGCCGGTTAGCGCGGCACGGCAGGCCCCTGGGCAGGCCGGCCCGGCGGTCTAGGAGTAGAGGCGGCACGACGACGTAACGTCTGGGCTGACCCCGCCAGAAAATGGGTCGTCGAAACGACATCCATTCGACGTCTATCGCGACAAAAGAGTGCACCGGGAGTTTCAGAGAGGACAACGCAGTGTTTGCGGTTTGGTTAGACTTGACTACGTACTCGATGCGTCCGTAAGGTGCCGCCATAGCCCCCACAGCTCTCGCGAGTATGCAATCCCGCAACACACTCCGGTGTCCGCTCTGAAACACCGGGTACAAGGGTTTCGAACTGCTGTCGACGCCTCAACGAGTCACAGACAGGTGCGTCGACGACAGCACGGACATAGTGTGATTGGTGGTAAAGGTACAGCCTCTCTATCCAAGTTTGACTGGCAGGGTAGTCCTGTACACATCCTCGTTCTGCGCGTGTCCTTATCGGCATCCTTATCAAACATCCTCGCAGCGGACAAATTCCCCCGCCCCCTTCTTCTCGATGCCCGGAATTCCTTACCGAACAACTTTCTCGCTTCTCCGTATATGCATCAAAATTCTATGAGCAAAATGCTACCATGGCGGAAGAGCCCAAATGTTTGGTTGCCGCTAGAGCCCCCCCCCCCCTCCCGGCGTAGGCTTCATCACTTTCCTTCCTGCACCGAGGCAATTACCAGCAGCACAAAGCCAACGCGCCATCGTAGGGAGGCTCAGCAGTCGAGACCAAGTACGTCGTGTGTTTGACATTTCCATCGAAAGAGTGTTCGAGGACTCGACACACAGAATAAAGCCCCGTCTCTGTTCCAGATGGCAGATTTCACCCCGTGCACGTTCGTAGTTTTACCATGGTAATCAGAATACCAAGCAGGCAACCCGGTAGGAGGACGCGGGGTACAGTCTAGTTTAGGAATCGTCCAGAAAGTGCGTCCGTTTTTCTCAAATTTATTCGGCAAATGACGGGACGGGAGCTTGTCGCCTGCGAGACTCGGGGTAGGCCACCCCGCAGTACATGCATGCCCAGCAGGCAAGATGTTGCCTACCTACTAGGCGTTTTTAGAGCTTCCAGAGCTTGAGCTTTGCAGGTTCGTAACGGCGAATGTTGGGCGTACTTTCTGGATGATCCCTAATCCACCGGGCATGGACAGGGGACTGCACTATGGCACAATTGATAAAATCCATGCAATATCCACATTTTTTACAACAGTTGCACAACTGGTGTTGACAATTTTCTACAGCCGGTCTGACAGAAGACGAAAAATCCCGTAACTGAAGACACGAGTTTATAACTGTATACGCGACTTCATTGCGACTAGCGCAAACCAAAATTTTTTGTAACCCGTTTAAACCTTTGTTGTAAGTGGCGCTTTACACTGAGGCTGGTTGTGCGATACATTCAACCAAAACCCATGCGATAACTGGTGTTTTGCGATTATTCCCACGCTAAAGGGCATATGATAACCCCCAAAAAATGTGCGTGGGAATCGCAAAACACCAGTTATCACAAAATTTCGGTAAAAAGTATCACAAACCGGATTTCAGTGATTAAGATAGGTGTGCGACGCCCCCCTCCGAAGGCTTAGAGACTGCAGGAGGCAGCCGCGGCCCTTCGCCTCGCGACACTGCAGCTCTTTGCTGACGTTTGTCGCTCAGCTGGACTGGACGGGGCGGCGGCCCCGCCGGCTTTGACGACTCATCACTTTGCCGCCCCCCTGGCGGGCCCGGGTGGCAGCGGGAGCGGGGCCACACCATGCCAATGTTTTTCTCAACAGTGCAGGGCGTTTCTGCCCCCCCCCCCCCCCTCTCTTCCTCCCCCCCCCCCTCCCTCTCTCTCTCCGGACGCACGCGGACGCGGAGCGCGCGGCGACGTGGCCTGGCGTGGAGCTCACGTCACCGCGCCAAACGCAGCACCGACTCACCGGCGCGCCGACCAAAGACCGTGCCGCCCAACCAAAAGCACACACGCCACGCCAGGCCTGCGTCAGCCCGAGAGCCTCGATGCCCACGGCGGCGGTGTTCCGGTGGAAGTACGAGGACAGAACTCGCTCCGAAAACAGTCGGCGGCGCACGCCCCGCGTAAACAAAGGGGTGCTCGGAGGAACCTAATGTCTCTCCCTCCCGAAATGCGCCATCGGCGGCACGACCTTATATGGCGGTATATGGGAGTCGAGAGGCTCGAGGCGGAGAGCGAGATAAGCCGCGCGACACGGCTCCGCTTCGACCCCCGCGGCCCCCGGCCCGGGCGACGACAAGGCCCTCGGGGGCAGGGCGACCCGAGCGCGCGCCGCCCCGGGAAACACAAAATTGTGGAGTCCGCGCGTCAGCCTGGCCGGGCCCAGCGCGGCCGAGGCCAAAGCTCCAGTTTCTCTCACGTACATACATAAGCCCTCCCCAACCCCCTCACCGCTTTGTGTCGAGCGAGTGTGACCTGCTTGGGCGTCTCGTTGACCCGCCCCGCCGCGTACGTGTAGGCCCGGCTCAGCGGCGGGGCGGGGCGGGGCGGGGCGGGGCGGGGCGCACAAGGCCCCGGCCGGGCCGCCTTATATACAGTGCCTCTCTTTCTCATGCATCTAGTCATGAACGGACGCATGGTGATGGAAGTGGGCGAGTGGGCCGAGCGTGGCGGGGCGTGGCCTCCGCCGCCGTGGTGCGCGACACTCGCCTCGAGAAAGCGCCGCCGCCGCACCCGCCAGCCCGCCCGCCTGCCCGCCCGTTCGACAGACACATCAGCATGGAGTGCCGTTGCCTCGCGCGGATGGCCGCCGCCGCCGCCGACAGGGTGGAGCAGAACGCACAAACCACATCCAGGATGTGCGGCGAAAAGGAGACCAGCCCCTCCTGCCCTGTGTGTTTTGTTTGGCCCCAGCCGATTCTCCTGCACGAGACCGCAGCCGCGCGGCGCCATTCTCGAGATACGCCCAGCGCAGCCCACACACTCACACCCCACTGACTGACCCTGCGCAACAAAACCAGTCCGCGCGCCGGACAGGACAGGCCCGGTATAGGTCTCGCGGCGGGACCTATGTGAGTTAGTGGAGTGTGACCTACAGGCTCCCCCACAGGCCGGCACCCGCACTGACTGGTCCACTGCCAAGCGAATCTAGAAGAAGAAAACGCATCGGGGACTTTCCATACATGGGTTGCAATTCAATGAGACGCTGGTAAAGCGATAGTTACAACTACAGGTTGGGGTTGGAAAGCAGACGAATTTACGTGCCACAAATCTGCAAACGCAACCAATACAATATGAAATGGTAACATTTTTAACGGTTACACTGACGGTTCTCACCACGATCCTAGCGGGTAGGCAGCCTTGTCTGATGCTGACGCAGCTGTGCGGCGGGTCTGCCTACTCAACCAGTGCAGGCGCCCACGGCCCCTGCGGGTAGGCAGTCCCGTCAGACGCAGCTGTGCGGCGGGTCTGCCTACTCAACCAGTGCAGGCGCTCACGGCCCCTGCAGGTAGGTAGTCCCGTCAGACGCAGCTGTGCGGCGGGTCTGCCTACTCAACCAGTGCAGGCGCTCACGGCCCCTGCAGGTAGGCAGTCCCGTCAGGCGCAGCTGTGCGGCGGGTCTGCCTACTCAACCAGTGCAGGCGCCCACGGCCCCTGTTGGTAGGCTGTCCCGCCATCAGGCTAAATCCTTGGGTAGTTTCGGGGGCCGTGGTCAGCCTCTTGCGTTTGGCCGTCCAGGTGTGACGTGACGCTGGTACCGTCGGACCCGGCTCGCGGCTCGTCGAGCCTCTCGGGTAAATCAGGTCTCTGGATCGAATTCGGCAACAACTAACCGCAGTTCTAAAGCCTGGCGCGCTGCCCTGAAGCCGTTTTCTTACCCCTGGCCTCTTCGCCGCTCCATCGAAGCATCTTCAGCCGCCCTCCCCTCTCCTCTCCTTTCGTCCCTTCCGATCCGTGCCCGATCGCGCTGAGCGGCGCTGAGCGCCCAGTGAAAGTGCTGGCCGCGGGCCCGGCCGGGCCGGGCGCTCTACAGCTTCTACAGAGTATTCACTCTCGCTCTTCGGCCGGCGCAGCGGGGAGGCGCGGGGGGCGGCTACAAAAAGGAGACGAGCAGCTCGAGGGTTCGAATATGCTACGGGGCGGCGGGGGGAGAGGGGAGGCCAACGCGGAGGAAGCGAAGCGACCGCGCCGCTCGC